TGGGTCAAACACGTTGTACATGAATCATTCCGATCGTTTTGACTCACCGACCTCATCACAAATCACTCGCAACCTCGCTCTTTCGTTTCCGTGAACACAGGCCCCTCATGGCCCGTCCACCCCGAGAAATTCGGCCAAGTGCATGGCATCTCCATTCTCGACCCCTGCGCACCGGGGGATGTTGGGAAAGGAAGTGACTCATATCACTAAACGAGGGTCTCAGAGAGTCTCACTAGACCCGAGAATTGGCGTGAACAATATGAAAGAGGTCAACATTGGAGAGAGTCTCGTGCTAGTTCGATGTTCCACACAATCACCACACTGATCCAAACTGTGATGTTTGGCTTCACGCCGTCATCTTCACCATATTCAACCGATGAAGAAAGAATGAACAGCCAAATCCGCATCCCTGGCCTTGCTGAGGCCAGGGTGGCATCCACTGAAGAGCTGGCCTTGAGTCGTTGGGCCGAGGGGTGATGATCTTGCTCAACGACGTCGGACGAAAACGTGTGGAAACGACGCGAGTCCGGCGTCACATGGAGAGAGTTGAGTTCGGAACGCCAAAGGCGTTGTTCAACGCCGACTGCGACGACTGAAACACCTTCAACGACTGCGAAAGCGTTCGAACTAACACCAGTTGACTGTGCAGTTGACTGCGACCTGCGACCTTTGGGGCAGAAAGAAGCCGATCTCTCAGGAAAACCGGCTCTTTTCGTCCGCGTCTGGGGAGGGTCGGGTGGGGGTCTCAAATCATATTGGTGTGTTTAACAGTCCACACCCTATAGATCCCTATAGCTTATCCCCTTAACTGCAGGGGTTGGGGCCCCCCCGTGGCCCGCCGCACCTATACGCACCCGCTGGTTGAACCTATGGGTTCCGATTGGGGTCGGGATCCGTCAGACGCCACCGGTCCGACCATACCAGCCCCCTCTCTCAGTTCTCATCAATACTCTAAAGTTTCGAGAGGAACAAACGCCTCCTCAGTTTACCAAACTCTAGCGCAGAATCAGAGAAGACATATTCGCTATGATACCTGTTTTCATCTTTTTTCATACCACATCTCATCTCGAATTCATCCTGCAAACAGCAAAAACACGAGGTGTGTTTCCAAAAGGGGAACCCAGCATGGCCAGTCATACGCACTCCTTCGACTCACCCCGGTCACCTGCGGTCCGAGTCACGCGGCTGCCCCAGGTGCCGGCGTCCCCCAATCGCTGGGCGTCATTGGAACACGGACCGAACTGGAGCGATGCGGAGGAGCCAGTTCGAAGAAGTGTGTGGGTGGTGAACCACGCACCGTGTGGAGGATCTAGAGGATGAGGTTCAATAGCTCGGAGCTGCAACAGGATGCACAAGGAGCCTGTGTTTGCGCAACATGATCGTTCTTACCCCCGATAGTTTTCATGATGTGCGGCTGATCATCCCTTATTCTGATCGCCCTTAAATAGGACCAGACACCACTTACTGGAAGACTGAGGCAATGGTTCCGGTCATTCTTAGCACCTATATAGACAGGTTCTGCATCCAACGAATCACAGCATCCAAACAGCCTTGGCACATCGTTGGGCGATTTGCTCTTGGGGCTCTGCAGCGGCTTCTCCTCCCTTTCCCTGAAGTGGTCCAGGCCACCCCGGTCGAGCCGGTCGATGCCGGGCAAAATATGCAATGTTACTAAGTGATGATCTACGCTTTGACTCAAAAAAGAACATTGAAGGAAGCACATGATGACCAGTAATGCAGGCTGAGAGATGTCCACGAATGCTCTGTCAGCGAGAGAAGCAACCTCCCATGCTGAGTTGTGGACATCTTGGCAAGGGTTTCCTGACAACATGGTGCTGTGACACTGCCTGTTGGGTCAAACCAAGAATCCCTCAAGCAAGAAAAAGTACACTCCCTGGAACTGACATTGAAGTGAAAAAATGGTCCCTTGGAAGACAATGTTCCTATATAAACAGGTGGTTGTCCATTTCTGTTAGTTCCAGGGAGTATATACAAAAGACTTCTCGGACCACAAGACATGGCCAGTACGTGAGATCCACACTGTCACCTCCTGTCACCACTCAAGTCCTAAGCACTTCATCCGGTTGGTCAAATGTTTGCTCATTTCCCTGGACCAGTCTGCTTTTTTTGATCGTTTTTGGATGTTGGCGCACCTCACTGGGCGTGTAGCTCACAAATTCACCTTGTTGCAGGTGAATTTGTTGGCTGAGATCGGACAAGGACATGATTTCAGGTGCGTGTATTGGCGAAGACCTGGACACTTGCTATTGGTCGAAAACGGTCCCAGCTTTCATGAAAGCCCTGGACATCAGGATACTTTGGGACATCTCTCAAGCTTATCATCACTGATCTGACGGATCTGGGCTCCCAACAGCCCTTGTTGCCTTCGATCTGGAACTCTGACGCGAACTGCGCCAGGAAGTGCTTGAGGCCTCATTCTGAGCAGAAACACCAAGCTCAGACATGCTCAGACCGTCTAGCCCGGCTGCAGACCTGTCGAGACCTGCTCAGTAGCACAAAATAGCGTAAACACAATAACTCATCCCGATCAGGGAAATCATCAACGTTGCAGACCTTTTCTAGCCCGCCAAGCAGTTCTTTTCGGCGTGCCCGCAGGCGGAACTTGTGGTTTTTTGTTCGCCCAATGGTTGAATCGACAGATAGTAAAAGACCGTCCTTCTGCCTCTTCGAAAAAGAAGAAAAAGAAGAAAATGATGATGATGATGATGATGTTCTATCCAGGTCAGCCAACCAACTCCGATCCGAATCGCCCCTACCTTGGTCCATCTGCTTCAAATAGGCCCGTGCACCTGGCAACCACGACCAATGAGCTTAAGGCTTAGCCCAAATTCAGTTGCTGAGTCCGCATCCTTGCGTCATTCTTTTAGGAATCCAAGGGGTCGTGCATCCAGTACAGTATTGTAGATCAGATTTCATGACATGTTCCCTTCTTCAGGGCAACTTCTACGAATGCGGAAGGTAGCAGGTAGCTCTTGGAATCACACACACATATCACAGCCGTTTGGGATGATGGCCGGACGGCCTACTCCTCAACACTCCGGTTCGACTCTGAGCGCCATTTTCCCTGACTTGCGAGCCCCATGCAAGCGAGGCCACTTGGTCCCATCTGTGACTCTGCACAGGACCCAAGACCGACCACGGCGCTTCGGTGACAAAGATGGACGCCGCAGTTCGATGTCACTTGTTTGCAGTGTTGCAGTGGCATTTGAGAATGATTTCATCCACTCAGCGGGCTGAAAGTTCCCACCAAACTGGATTGCTTCTTCCACCGAAAGCTTTCAAATTCAGCTCCCCAAGAACCGAGCCCACCGGCTGCTACCATTCACAGGCACCGCCGCAGGCTGCGCCCCGCACATCGCCACCGCCCGCGCGGCCGCAGGCGCCGCAGGCGCCGCCGGCGTCGCAGGCGTCGCCGGTGGCAGCGCGACGGACGTCGCGCAGGCCTCGGTCGCCTCGGCAGGACCTCGCCGAGGCAGTTCGTGCGAAGGAGTTCGGAAGGCGCAGAGTGAAGGGTGACTCCTGGAATATGGTCACCCAAATCAACCTGACGCAGTTCTTCAACCCTTCCCCCCCCCCAAAGAAAAAAGGACAACAACTCACACGTATATACTGCAAACACACACACACAAAATCTAAAATAACTAATCCAGTCTTACCATCTCTTACCATGAGTTCTCCCTCATTTAATGACCTCTGAGTTCCTTGTTTGCATGTTGTTATAGGATCAAAGAAATGATAAAAATGATCGAAAGAAGAAGTGGCTTTGGGGGAAACCTAGGGATTTGGTAAATGTCATTAAATGTCCTCACAGAGAATTTGTTCTTCCAAACCGAGCAAAACACTGCGTTCACTCGACCGGCAACCTGTGTTCATTCGACCAGCTGAGTTCCAGACGCCAATGGTTCTCCTGTTGCGGCAATTCCTCAGAAGGTTCAGAAGCCAGGCTGTTGAGCAATTCTCTGGTAGGAAACACCTGTGAAGCTATCCTGCACCATCCTGCATCAGTATAGTCTTGTTGGAGTCCATTGTGCACCATCCCCAACATTTTTGTTCAATCCTTATAATATAATTCCCTAGGGCTCCAACCACCTCCTTAGAAGATGGTTGGGGTGGGATTGGGGGGTCTAACCACCTTCTGAGGAGATGGTTGGAGCACTAGGGATCAATGAGAAACCCAAAAGAAAAATACGCCACTGGCCACGACAACGATTCCGCCGGCACGATTCCGACGGCCAGCCCCTCCGGCTTCGGCTCGCCTCCTCAGCTCGAGCCTCTCGCTTCAGCTGCTTGGAGTTCGTGGTTCCCTCGGCCGCCTCGGTGCGCTCGAGCCTCTCGCTGTTCGAATGGGGGTCTGTTCGAATGGGGGTCGGACAGGACGGAGAGGTGAACAAATGAAACTAGACGACAGGGTGGCCCGAAAGCATAGTAGGAGTAAGCATTAGAACGAAAGGGTTTCAAACGAAAACGAACGATCACAGGTGCACGATGATGTATAATGTCTGCGTATGTATGGCGATGATGATTATGATGATGATGGTGATGTATGATAATGTAATATGTTGATGATGATGATGATGATGATGTTGTATGTATGATGATGATGATGTGTAATGCATGAGTATGTATAATGATAATAATGATGATGATGATGATGATGACAAACAGTGACAAACAAATGAAGCAGCCAACAAATGAAACAGCCACTGATTTTGATCAGCCGCGCATTTTGTGCAAAACTCGTGCTCGCGGGACATCCAGCCGCTACGATTCCAAGCCAAGCATGACATGTGTCTCAGACAGATCCTGTTAACGCATATCAGCTACCTCTCTTGTGGCTGCCATCGAAAGCCAGGCAAGACATGAATCTCAGACAGATCCTGTTAACTAGTTCTAGCGTCGCCCATACCCAGCCCCGCACAGTTCGCGATGGTGCGGCCGGTGAACGCTTCACGTTTCGGGCGCTTCCCATCTGGTGCTCTTCATCTTTGCCGGCGTCTGCAGCGCCAAATGAGTGGCCGGCCGTTTCGTTCTGCGCACGTCCATTTCATCCGTTTTTGCAATGTGACGATGGCTTCCCGCTCGGCTTCGAGCGCCTCAGCTTGTTCTGGCTGAGGCGATGGGCGTGGTGGAAAGTTCCGGCTGAGGCGATGGCCGTGGCGGAAGGTTCCTGAAGATTTCACAGCCGAGCGCGTTTTAGAGCGACCTTCACGGTTGCAAGTGCGGATCAGGCGCCCCAGTTCGGGAACTCTCAGCAAATCCTCCGGACCAAAAATTTTCCAAATGTTGACACAAGAAAAATGCCAGCAGGACATGTCGTGTAAGAACGACGAAAGAAAAACATCTGCAACTGCGTGTGACAGCTAGCACATCTGCAAATGTCATGTTCTTCCTGACACCAGCTTGGTTGCAACTTCTAATGAACCAGTCAACAGCAGATTATAGCTTGCACATCTGAACATCGTTTGCCTTCAACTAACGAGCCTTTTTCGCCACAAGTGTTGCTCAAAGGAGTGTCCTGGTCGACTTCCAAATCACATAATACCGCCAATCATCCCGCTCACCTGCGACACGCCGCGTTTACACCAGCATGTTTCGCGCTCCCCAGTGGCACGGAGCCACGCAAAAGCACTTTCCACCAAGGCCGTGCAAATCCGCGTGGCACTGCGACACTACGGCCGTAATTTCCCGACACCGCGTGTCACAGACTGAAAGCAAACGTGTCACATAATACCACCAATCATCCCGCTCACCTCCTGAAAAAAGATGTCAAGAGGGCTGAGGCATTACTACATTACCCTTGAAAAAACACATAACATCACCGGGTCCTTCCATGTCCATGATTGGAGGGAAGGTCAATCAGAGCTTGGTCCACCAAAACAACGGGCTCAACTTCTTCAGGTTCCCTCTGTTTGGAGCAGCAAAGCACCCACACACTCCAGACGTGTGGTTTTTCCATGCAACTTCTCCTCAGCTGCCCGACACGTGGTTTCCGCTTTCTAGCTCCCAGAGTCCAGCCAGCCTGAGCAAGATGAACAAAAATGTGTCCACTGTGTAGCATGTTCCTTTGACAGAATAGGGCGATGAAAACTAGTGTGGAATGTTTAAAGTCTAAATTGCTTTGAGGGAGGGGCGAATGCAGAGATTAGAATATATATTTATATATATCCGCGCAGGCATGGCGAGGATGAGGTTGCCAGTATTTTGCAACCACATTCAATGTGTGATTTGCAAAATGAATGGAGTCCAAAACCACAACGGATTGTAGCACTCCGCAGCACCTCAAGACCCGGCCCCCCAGTCCATCAGCTGCTTGGTTCAGGAGTTGATGAGGTCCGGAACCGACACAGTCTGTGCGCGTGTGTGTGTGTGTGTGTCACACTCTGTTCCTAAGAGTTTTCCACAAGCAGGGGGATCAGGCTTCCAGTGGCAAACCTGATCCAACAAAGCTGGGTCACTGGAAGGGAAGTGGTTGAGGACGCTCAACCATGTACCAGCATCGTGATACAACTCCAATTTTCGCCGCTGTTCTTTGCTTTCATGGTCGTTCCACATGATACCTCCCAAAACAGGGTTCCTTGTACCTATGCAACTGAGCCGCCGCCGCTTTCCGCAGTCACGTGCAACAGTGTTGAACATTTCAGTTGAGCTGATTTTGCACCTTTCCGTTCCCTCACCATTTTCGACCTGGGAATTGAGTTAACTGAAAACCCATTGTCAAAGTGTGTGCCGCTGTGCCGTCCCACGTGGGTGCACAGTGTGATCCCCGTCACTGGGGCGCTGATTTCATGCCGGACTACCGCCAACTGATTCTCCTGCTTTCTGCACTCGTTGGATTATCTTAACTGATTTTCGTTTCACCACTGTATTCTCAAAATCTAAGCCGCGGGGCGTCACGGAAATTCAAAGCCGCCGGGCATACGGAGAATAAACCCCGACGTGTTCTCTACCCCAAACACCCCAACCCCCCCCTCCCTCTAATTAGGGTAACAGAGGGAAATGGTACTCGACACACTTCTGTGTCGGTGCCTTTCCCTCTGTTGTCCCTTTTCTAGTCTACTCTACCCGGGCGGTGTAAGACAAAAGTCCCACTCCCTAACTAGTGCACCTAATTCACTTACTTCGTCTAAGTATTCAGTATTAATTCTAGAGTGCTAGGTATTCATACACACACACGGACACACACATGTACATACACCTCCCTGCCCCCGACTTTCCTTCTTACGCTTTTCGTCGTTTCTTGGGCTTTCTCTCACGCTTTTTAGGTTGTTCTTCAGGCTCGTTTCCCTACCCCTGTCAAGGGCTAAGTATTCACTTTTTGCTACTCCTATCTTTCTCTCTTGCCCTTTTAGCGCTGCTCTTTCTGTTTTTCTTTCTCTTGTTTCTAAGGCTTTTTAGGCGCCTATTTACATCCTCCGCGACAGCGCCGCAAAGCGGCCGAGTGTGTGTGTGTGTGTAACCCTTGGAATCAAAGGGAACCTTTAGGTTTGGAACAGGGGGCGTGACAGTCGATTTCCTAGTCACGCCAATGAAGCTATGGAAATCGACTGGATGGAAGTTTGGACGCAAACTTCCGTACCTGTTCCCCTATTTAGGAAAACAGGAGGAAATGGTACTCGACACACTTGTGCGTCGGTGCCTTTCCTTCTGTTTTCCTCTAGACTACTTAACCTGAACTTTGGCCTCCACCCACTAGATTGGCCCCCAACTTTGCTGTCTTGTGTTTCTTGTGCTTTTTGTGCTTCTTGTTACCAACCTCCTAGCGTTGGCCCCCAACCTGCTTTCGACGGCCTCCAACCTAAGAGCGAAGACCCCCAACTTTGACGGCTTGCAGTTTTGGTTCTTGTCACCAACTTACTAGCGATGGCCCCTCAACCTGCTTTCGATGGCCTCCAACCTAAGTGAGAGGATCTCCAACTTTGACTGTTTTGACTGTTTTGCTGTCTTCTTTTTTGTCACCAACTTACTAGCGATGGCCTCTCAACCTGCCTTCGATGGCCTCTAACCTAAGAGCGATG